TGGTGCGAACCATGGTTGTGTTGGTCAGCATTTTCAAAAACAGCACTCAGTTGACTGACAGTTGGCGAGGACGCCTCTGTTCTGGAGCAAAGTGAGTCCAAGGAGTCTGTGCTGCCTCGATTAGACCTGGAACCTCGCCAGTCATCCAGGTGCTCATGGGAACCTCGTTTATCACGTCCGGATGCAAAGACTGGGGATTGGGACTGGTCCCGTGACTGCTGCTCAAACAGCTTCCTGGTTTCGGAGAACTTGGCTCCAGAAACTCCAACCTTGTCAGCTGATAAGGAATGCTGGAGTTTTATGACTGATCCATCGGCCTTGTTGATGAAGTTGGTGGGCTTGACCATCTTTTGAGGTGATAAATCATCACTAGCCTTGGCTGGTACATCTGTGCCCATCTGCATGAACATGTCCTTAATGCGACTGACATGGCCGCCATACTGCCGGCCCCTTGGCTGTTTCACCCGTTCTTGGTCTTTGGGCTTGGAGTTTCTTTCTACCCGAGGCTGATCGAAGGACTTCTTGAGTGCCTGAAACTCAGCTCGGTAGGCATTTCGGTGGGGGGAGGCACTCCGGAGGGAGGTCCTCTCCCCCGAGGCCTCCGTCTTCAGCATGATGATGTCTTTGGATTCAGAGGGGGTGTCAGCATCGCTGTGGCCTCATTACAATCTGGAAGTGAGGAGTCTAATTTGAACTACCGCTGTGCAGCCTAATCAGATCCACTTGATATTATCGTATTTAGGCCCATTCACACCTGCAGGGATAAAAAGAGAAGTTATAAAGATAAAAAGATAAGTTTTAAACATCCACACAGTAATGGCAAATACACTTAAAGTTCTCATCAAAATTATGATTACAAAGCTTAAAAGAGATAATTTTCACATTACATCAATAACACTATTTAGAAACATGGGAGGCAGAGGGCTGATGGGTTTGATTTATAAAAGCTCTTAGTAGAAGTGGACTAGTTATGAAATACTACGAGACTCTAAAAGCCCTCTGATTATGTTGTCTTTTCAGAAATGCTGCACTGTTTACCTTCTCAAATCAATAAGTACTGTAGTGTTTGAGCACTTCATGTTTAAACTGGTGCTATGCTGCAGGAAATATTGTTGTTTTCTCCTTCTCTCTCTCTCTCCCACTCCCTCTGTTTTCCATAGTAAGCGGTGACCCTTTTACGCTGATATATCCCACAGCTCTCTACACCATCACTGACATTATGCTGCTTCTTGCTAAATGCCATCCCTCACACAAAAGCATCACATGGTAGTTTAAACCTTTACTGCAAAGAGAAAATGCTGTTGAATGCAACACAAGTGTGTTGATTGGTAAACAAAGCTTACGAGAGATTTGCAGCACCCATCATTACAATATTATTGCATTAGTAGTGGGCTAGTATAGTAGTTACATATTCTATAACTACAGCTACTAAATCTTTAATCATGTTTGAAAATGCATACCATAAAGAGGATGATAAAAATGTGGCACAAAAGATCATCTGGGACACAGAGTATCCATTAATCTCAGTAGTGCTGAATGGTATGAAATGCAGCAGCAGTGACTGAAGCCTAATGACCCGGTTCAATATTCATTATCCACATTGCTGGACCCTTGCTGGTCAACGATAACACCTATGTAAAAATCCCTGTGCAATAAACAACCATTTAAACTTGAGTAACATCCTGTGCTGGAGTATATCGCACGGAGATAAATAAAGTTAGAGATGAAAGATGGAATCGAGGCTTTAACATTGTGTCAGAGGGATCAGACAAACAGCCAGCCGCACATCAGCCACACCGCGCACAACATGACAGCTCAGGTTTCTGACACTTAAACATGTATCCATGCACAATTCCCCCCCTGTGCATGTATGCATGGGTAAAAATACAAATGCCTAACCCTTCTCTGTGATTACCAAAACACTAAGTTAACTGTTAACCGCAAACCACAGCAGTGGTGCTTCAATGTTACAAAAACAAAAGAGTCAGACTTACATCCATGGCTCCGGCTTCGTTTGACGCTTGATACAAACAAACTGTAATCCAGAGGCTAAACTCGTTGGGAAGATGGATGCTGTTGTTGCAAAACCTTCCGATAAAAACATATCTCTCCCACGCTCGTAAATTGTCCGGTATGGATTTGCCACTACAGAAAGGTTTGGACACACTACAGCCGCTACAACGCCATTGCAGGCAGTGGGCGATGCTGCCAGTTGCTCTGTAGGGGTGGCGATGAGATTTGGCAGCTCGTCTCACGGAGAGCTGCACTGTGGCAGGGTCTGCTGGGGCTGGTCCGATATACGCCTGCAGTGTAGAAAAGTAAACATACTTAGCTCTAACGGTAGACGGTGATTTCCAATGGTAAAGCCTCATGTGACAGGTGCTTAAACCTGAACTGCGGCAATGGTTTGGTCCAATAATCTGCCGCGCGGAGGGGGTTACAGTGAGCTGCAGTCTGCATAAATACCAGCACACAGCAACACTGTAACTTTACTCTTCATGCTGCCTCACTGTTCATCAATGGGGTTTGGGTGGGGTACATGGGGTCATGGACCATGGGAGTTCAAATGATGGTGTTTCAAAATGTGGACCACCAGGGGGCCTATAGGAGTTTAAAGGGGGTAGAGCCAGCTAAAGTTATTTTTTAAATAATGCAAATTCCATCCACATGTAATTAAATGAAAGCCAATGCATATTAAAGATGGCTACTGAACACACAAAACTAAACCTCATAGATATACATATCAGAAGATGCTTTGGGTTCTAAAGTGTGCAGTCTCTTTCCTGTAATGAAGCTGTTTGCATTAATATTTTAGCAGTCTTTTAATGAAGATCAGAGCTTAAGAAGTCTAGCTTGGTAGCACAAGAGTCAACCGAAACCGCCATAAGCACGAGACTGAATTCATGTAATAAATCCTTTATACAGTCTATGGAGAAATCCTTATAATAAAGAAAGCTTTGTCAACAACCAAATGTGTGATTTTTCCTAACAGCACTAAGTTATATAATTGATTATATTTTATTAAGAATGCTGCATTCTCGCATATTTTGAAACAACACATGACAAGTAACATTAAAAATTACATTTTTCGATCAAAGTGCGATTCAGTTGATTAAAGTGCACATATGCTGCATACATTTATACAGTATTACACATTTGTGACTTTTTTGTTGCCTTCTCAAATCCCTTAAAATGAATCTTATTTATAAACATGTGCAGTAAAATAATCTGCCAAAATATGCGATTAACATTTTTATGTAACAATTGTAATCCATAATAAACTCAATGAACGCTGCATATTTGTAGTAGGCAACTGTTTTTCACTTGTACTTATGACCCTTCAATTTTCCGTCCCAACATCTTGAATTTAGAGAGTCAAATATAATATAAAAGAGTGTCATTGGGTGTATATATCTGCTACACTACAAAAACAGACTTACGAGCTACAGTTTATCCCTGTTTAGCCACAGCCCCTTTCATGGGGGAGAGCAGGCATATTGCATCTTGCCTTTCAGCAAAAAAAAGAAAAAAAAATCAGGAAAATAACATTTTAAATTGAAAATGTACTGAAGAATATTCTGAAACATAATTGGAGCAAAAGTCAATCCATATCAGTACACGGTAATTCACTTCAGATGGTGGATACATGTTGCTGTCTTTAAATCCTGCCAAGTGGTAAATGCTAGTCTTCATTACATCTTAATGCAGTTATTGACTTACAGTGATTGTTGTGATACGTTCATACCCAGTCCAATCGGCAAAGACGTCTGTGAAGATGTTGCTAAGCAACCTAAAAATAATCTTAAGGGGATAAAAGGGAGGGTGAGAGAACATAACAGCCTCGCACTGCAGAGCATGGAGGATGGTTAGCATCATGTTTATCACCAGAGAGGAAGCCATGAATCTAGAGCCAAACATGAATTTATTAAATAACATCCACTGTCGGGATGTTTGCCAGAATTTGGGTCCTTTTCTGCATGATTAATGTGCTCTCTGAGTCTCGTACTGATAGCTGACATCGAGGGGGCATGAGGGGTGAATTAAGGGTCCCACAGCCCTTTAGCAGGCCTGACTTGGAGCCAAGGGGCCAAAAACATGACCATCTGTCTGCTAAGACTGTCTCTGCAGGGGGTCTGGACAGATTGGGGAAGATTTCTCCAACATGTCTCTGCATCCAACAGCTGGGCTTAGGGGGTCATGCTCTGCTGAGGTGACGGTGCATGTTTGTGCATGTGAGTAAGAACGTCTGTTTGACAACTCCTTATCCAAATTTTAGCGGCCTTATCAAGAAATCATCCAAAATGATAAATAAACCAGCATTCGGAGAAGCTTCTAAATGACTGAATTCAGCTAACAATTAAGAAATAAGCTTTCAGGAAATTACATTACGACTATATGAAATTACAAATATATGTTGTCCAAGACAAAGGTGGGAGAAGTACTCAGATCTTTCAGTAAACGTAGAAATACTAGATTGTAGGAATGCTCTGTTGCAAGTAAAAGTCCTGTATTTACCAAGTTGAAAAGTTAAAAAGTATTTGAATCAAAATATAATTAAAGTACGAAAGTAGAAGTACTCATTATGCACATTTCAGAATAGGCTACTATCATATGTTTTTAAAATAAATATTGATGCATTTAAGTGTTATCAAAGCAGGTAAAGGTGCAGAATTGTAGTGGGGTGGAAGTAGAAAGTAGCAAAAAATGGAAATACTCAAGTAAACTACAAGTCTCTCAAAATTGTCCTTAAGTACAGTGCTTGAGTAAATGTACTTAGGCTAGTTACTTTTACACCACTGAAAAGCAGCCATTCATCAGCCACTACTTATATAAAAGGAAGACACAGTACAATTCAGTATGTTACTCGAGTAACATCCACAGAAACATCTACTACAGGCGTGTCGCTCATGTTCTGACTCACATCGTGGTTTTGCTTATTTTACTTTACGAGACAACCATCTTTTTCCATCCAGATGTTGAGCCAATGAGGAGCCTCTCTGTTTCCAGAGAAGGAAGGAGGCGGAGGAAGGAATGCTGCAGGATGCTTATTATTATGGCTGTCAAACCCAGTGGCGATTAGATAAAACATCCTTTTTCATGTAAGATTAACGACGATGGTAGGCACCATGTCCGCTGCAGCTGTCGCGGTATGGCTTGGTTCGGGTACGTATCGATTAAAAACTCGGAAATATCCGGGGATTTTCAGTCGTTATGCCTTTGATGCGGTATCCATGCTAGTTAGCTAGCTAGTTAGCATGCCCCTGTTTAGCTACTGTGCTCATTTTTTCCAAGAGGCAGAGGAGGAGACATAAAAAATGGCTAACAGCAGACAGCTGTACCGTTATACAGCTGGAGTTCCTACACAATATACTTTAAAAAATGTGTTTTGAAGTAGAGGATTTGTATAACGTCATACGCTGTGTTGTGTTTTATTCAGCTGTAATTACCTTTGAGAGATAGCCTGTTTCCCTTGGTGCACGCCTGTGTTCATAGACGACCAGGTGTCATATGAATGCCTAATTAGGTGGCTATGCTAGATTAACATTTTAAATTACCCATAATCACCTGGGAATACACATTTGTTGTAGGCAATGATCTGAGTTAGTAGTTTGTTATGTACAATTAAACTAATCCACTTTAATACAACAGCCTTGCAAAAACTATAACCTTTATGAAGTTTATAATGGTAGGGTCATTAATATTGTCAAATGGATTCATACCATAATTTAACGTCCATTTACAATTACAAAATCAGCCTACTATTACAAAAACAACAGATAAAAAAGGATTACACTTGTCTTACTGTAGAAAGACAATTATGTATCATTTTATCTTGTGGTACAACTAACAAATGATTTAATCATCAGGTAATATGTTGATGTTCTTTGACCCTACTTTACTTTTTTTTTAAACTTTCATTTAAAAAAGAAAAGCACCATATCCTCACATTTTAGAAGCTTTTGGTTTCTGAGTACTACCTTTATAGCTGACTATAATACTCATTTTGTAGCAAGGCTGTTGTACTTAATAAACTGGCAACAAACATAATGTGTATACAAACTTGTACCATTCATGCTTTTATTCATTGATCCAATAGTTTTCATTGTGCATGCCTATGATGTCAAACATGACACTTTTCATGAGAGAAATGCCCATAAGGAGCTATCCATGGGCTTGAAGCAGAGAACAGCCCTGGACAGAGATGGTGAGTGGGTGTGTGCAGTGGTGCACTTCACGTGTTGACCCGCTGTCCCCTCCCCCTTCATAACACAGTGACATGCTCAACTGGTTTCCAAATAATACTGGCATTATTGTTTTCAGTTGTCCGCTGTCCCACAGACTTGGCCCACTTTTGCTGTAACACTTTACTGAATTAAAATGTCTAAACCTTGTCCTCGCTAAAAGTAGAGTTTACCCTGAATCATTAACTTTGAGACAAAGGTAAAGTATATCTTCTATTTAACCTGATACTAGTAATTAACTCATTTACGCTTTTTGGAAAAGTCAGTGATTTGCTTACCTTTATAGAGCGCTAGAAGATTGAACTGGCTGTTACATGTCGACTCTAGTCCTAAGCAACATCCTTCTGCCTCTTGTGACACAGACTACTTTCACTTCCAGGTCTGTGTTAAGAACAAAGCTCAAAGTCATAAAGTGCAGAAAAACAAAACTGGTCCAAACAGTAGCAATCCTTGTTGTATGTGCTCTCCTGCTAAACACCAAAGAAGCACATGCATTCCTCCTGACCAAGACAACGTGCGAATATGAAGCTGATTCAACAAAACTAAAGGACATCCCTTCTTTGCCACTTCCTCGGCTAGCTTGAGTCCTCAGTTTGCTAAAGCCATTAAAAGGACAATGATGGTTTATTGCCTTACGCTGCCAATGGTGTTCGTAACTAAGGCGTCACTCCTGGGACGTCAGCCGGTCCAAGGTCAGCCCAGAAAAGAAAAAAAACCTGGTTTACTCCTCCCCACAAGGCAGTTATCTACTAATAAGTGAAAGTGTGTCAGTTTATCAGAATGATGTGCAATGTATAGATATTACTTACATGCCATATGTAGTTTGTAGTGTCTTTTTTTACATTTGTTCTGCATCGAGAGCTAACAGGTTAATCTTCAGTGGAGAGTCCAGTATTAACCTTTAATGAGTAATGTATTATGTTTACTAGGAGTGTTGTAGTCCATTATCTCGAGAAGGCTTGGCACAACGTCAGCCCACTACAATTAAGCAGATCTGATGCTATTAGCAGAGCCTAAGTGTAGCTTAGTTAGTGATCTTAATGGATGGTAAATACTGCAGTTGTAGCTGATGGTAAACCACAGTCCAATAGGATCCTGTAAGTGAGACTGGCCAACACTCGGCTGCCGGCTTGTGTTAGACCTAAACGCTTGTTGTTCAATCGGAGCTTTAATATTGATAGGCCAAAACACATTTCAAATCCCATAGGTCATTTCCTATTCCTGAGACCATTAGGTGAGACCAGGCCATCTGGGCTCTCTTGTATGTCTCATCTGTGGACGTGCCACAAATGTTTACACCGCGTCCAGTTGGTCTCTGAGCAGAACAGAATAGCTGGTACTTGACCTTGACTGGGAGTGTGTGACTGGTCCTTTGTGTGGGGAAGAATTGATGAGGCCCAATGCGTCGGGTGATAGAATCCGAGCGTGTGCATTCAGAGTGGGATCGACTTAAGTCACCGCAGAGGACGCAGTGGTGCGCTGAAACTGAATGAGGTTTTACTCTTGGTCTTTGAATAAACTAGATCCTAATGCCACGTGTGCAGGAGGAGCAGGAAGATATGGTCTGGATTAGTCATGCTCGGGTGCTTCCCTCAATCTGGTTTTAGAAAGAGGTGTGGTGGGTTTTATAACCTCAGGTTTCTCTAAGTAACACCGCATTTATTGGCCTCTAAATGCTATTGATTGTATCTTACTGTGACGGAGCCCTCTGGGATATCAGATAGATGGCTAGTTCATATTCTCTGTTTAAAGCCACACAGATGTAGCACAGTTCAACATACACACAGGACTGTTTTATAACTTCAGCTCATCTGTGCTCTTAGATTGCAGTTAGGCAATTTGGCCTTGTAGATGTGGACTTCCTTAATAATCTGCAGCTTACTGTGCCACCTAATCTTTTATAACCCCTTTGTGCACCCTGGTAATAGATAACGCTTAACAACCAAAGATCACATACTGACTTCCTCTTTTCATGGAGACGGATTAAGATGTAAATCCTGCTCTATTACTCTGTTCAGACGAGACTCTCCTTCGAAATCCACCTCTGTACAAGGAGAGGGCTCACAGAAGAGGCCCTACTTTATGTTAGGGTGCGGGTGACAGTTATGTAGAATATGGTGGTTTGATGCTAATTCAGAAGATGAAGCAGGAGATAAATCTACAATATTTTTCTGTGGAAAGGCACGCATAGCTTTCCCATCTCTTCTTGTATTTGCTTTATGTGACTGGAGTTATATGTCTGCAGGCGAGCAAAGTTCAAATTCTCTTTCACTTCGCTTGCAATTCATACTGTAGCACAGATCTCCATATTTCCTCCCCTCCTCTTGCTATTTTGTCTACTCATTCTTTCTTCTCTTTTTCCTCGTACACTCAGTCTCCCATGGTGATTAAAAAATGGAGTGCCCACCCACTGAGGGAAAGAAAGGGGGGAATAAAAATGAGAAGACAGAAATGCTGCACAAAAAACGCTTGGTGGTTAAAAGAAAACAAGTATTCAAAACAAAAGGAAATTGTAAAAGGGAAAGATGCAAAAAGAAGGAAAGAGCTTTTCAAATAACCTCCAGTCTTACATTGTGTACATATTGTAAAGGGGCTGCCATTTGACTAGAGATGCCCTTCACGAATAAAGACTAAATGTTAGTGCTTGAAATAGAGTGGGGCTGAACAGAGAGCATAATGGAGACAGAGTGGGAGGCAGGCATAAAAACAACTCCGTTCATTTTGAATGATTCTCATTACTGCTGCTTTTTCTCACAGTACCTCTTTGGCCCTGAGGTTTATTGTTCTGGTTTAGCAATTTGTACAAAATCATAGTCTTTCCAGCACCTAATAATTTGGGTTTACACCCTTCACACTTGGCTGTTTCTGTACTGCATCCCTGTGTAAAGTGGATGCATTTACGAAATTAGACAATGCAGAAGCAAGGCAAGAAAAGGAGACAAATCTATCATTGAGCAGAATCGCTTCTCAAAGTGTGAAGTGGTTTGGCAGGTGCTAGTAACCCAAACATTCGCTTCGACTGTTTTCACTTCTATTAACGCCTACACTTCTTTTCTAATTAGTGCTTCTTGCAGATTATTAACGATGAACAAAACACAGAAAAAAGCAAACGTTCTTCTTTCCGAAGCTAATTTCCTTTCTTATTTTGAAATCTACATTTCAGTGTTCACCATCTTGTCGAGATCGCATGCAGACCGTAACGTCTACCCATCTGCAGGAGTGCTGTTCGTCCACGTTCTGGAGAGAGAGTATTTTAAAGGAGAGTTTCCTCCCTACCCAAAAGCAGGTAAAACACCATCACATTCTGCACAGATTATTAGTTTTGACACTTTTAAACATCTTAATGACTAAAACATTTGTACAGTCTAATTGTTGGCACAGTCAGTGTATGAATGCAGCACTGTACTGTCCATTCATCACATTTCACTAGTAGAAAATGCTTACTCAGGCAACCGGATTTCAGCTAATGGGTCTAAATGTACATTACTGAATTGCCGGTGAACCATAACAGAGCCCTGGGTCACCCCTCATTAAACTGCTCTGCCTTCAGGTGATGCCAACAGTGACCCGATCACTTTCAACACCAACCTGAAGGGCTACCCCGACAGGCCGGGCTGGCTGCGCTACATCCAGCGCACGCAGCACAGCGACGGGGTTCTGTACGGCTCCCCCACCGCAGATCACGCCGGCAGGCCCTCCGTCATAGAGGTGGGACGGTGGAGCTCTTTCAAAGTGGAAAAGAGAAAAGATGGAGGGATTTGTGTTTCTGTTTTATATGTGAAGGGAGGAAAAGTGTTTTCACAACTCGAAAGCATTACATTTGAAGAATTTGACTTTGAAATGTAAGACAGTATCACACATTTGTAGTCAAGGCACATACATAAAGGTAATTGAGTAGTAACAAATTGAATTGAGCACAGCCGATTTAGCAGTAGAACAGTGCAATGTTGCGCTTTGAGTCTTTAACATAAATTCCTTTATGTTTTCTTATGCTTTCTTTGTCCCCCATAAGCTACTCTAGAAATAATTTTCCCAAAAGGCTTAGCGTTCCTAGTGGCACATGTGCCTCTATACGAGGGTCTCAGTTGGGTACAGAGCCTGCATAGGGTCTCTAGCTCAGCTTCGTCCACAGGGCGGCTGCCATATAAGCTGCACTGATCTGGGCTTAAACGTTCACCCCTGTGTGTCGCAGATTACAGCCTACAACCGACGCACTTTCGAGACGGCACGGCACAACTTGGTCATAAACATCATGGGCACAGAAGGTAAGAGGCGCCAGCAGGGGGGCTTAGAGCAAACACAGATCAGACTGCAACTCCTCTGATTAAATCCTCAGGGCACACTCAGTGCTAGAATCTTCCCAGAGGAGAAAATGTGGCCTTTGATTACTTCTGTCAACAAGAACTAATCAAAGAACATATAGTATTGATCAACTCATGTGTTCCATAGAAACAGTACAACTCCCTAAGTCTGCCTTAGACCTTGTGGCAAGAATATTTGAAATCTAAATATATAAATAACCATAAGTTGGTTATAATTAACCAGTATTAGATATTGTGGATTCTTTAAACACACAGTCCTGCTATGGTGCAACATTAACAATTGTCATTACGGTACGGCTATAGTCAACAGCCGTTTCTTTTTTCGCCCGCGTGGCTGCACCCAACATCTGTTTTGTTTGCACCACGGCTGGTTGACCGGTCGCGCTACATGCAGTACACAATATGATCTGAATTGGTTGAACGCTAAGCAGATGTTCGCGCCGCTAACGTGAAATCACTCGTCCTTTTCTGTGATGTCATGTGCCATCTGGCCCCAGACGGAAGCCAAATCGTATGCACAGTGTAGCAGACACACCAGCGTCTGCGGGTGAAGTCATTAAGTATTTATGATGTCTTAGTCAGCAGAACACCTCTCTTGCTGCCCTCCTGTCTTCTCTCTCCGTCGTCTCACTACCATTCACCTTAATCACCCTTTTCTCTGAGACTCTCTTCTTCTTCTTCATCCCCCTGTTGAAGAGTTCCCCCTGCCCTACCAGGCGGAGTTTTACATCAAAAACATGAACGTGGAGGAGATGCTGGCCAGTGAGGTGCTGGGGGACTTTCTGGGAGCAGTGAAGAACATCTGGCAGCCTGACCGCCTCAACGCCATCAACATCACCTCGGCACTAGACCGAGGGGGCCGCGTGCCCCTGCCCATCAACAACCTCAAGGAAGGGTGAGGGTTTTTAGGGTTTGGCTGGACCTGTATTCAAGTTTTTAATACTGGAATAAAGCTGATGCAGGAACGGCTAGATAAGATTTTCTTTCAAGGCTAATTTTATAGCACTTTGCACTACGTTTTTATTGTAAAAGTGCAGGATTAGTGCTTTTAGGTATAATACCTCTTGATTACATACAGTAAGCATTAGGTTTCTCCACCTCTTCACATCTCTCGATCAAACAGATTTCTTATATTTTCCGCCCACTCAAAACATACTTGTGTTTTATTTAATTGCGGCCCTGGGGATCCACAGTTCTCTGTGAATTAGATGAGTACACTTGCCATCAGCGCTAACAGATACTGTCAGTGTGTGTTCTGAGGGGAATAGCCCACATGAATTGCCATAAGTTGTGCAACAAAAATTCATGCTGACGGTTTAAGAAGATGAAAGCATACTGTATATAAGAGCGCTCAGTGGAGGAGAAATTCTTTGACTATATATCAAGCCAGCATAATAATGTAAAACGACGCTCCATCTTCTCCTCTCACGCTTTGTATTTCCCTGTCTCCTCCCCAGAGTGTATGTGATGGTTGGTGCTGATGTGGCCTTCTCGTCCTGCCTGCGGGAGGTGGAGAGCCCCCACAACCAGCTGCGCTGCAGTCAGGAGATGGAGCCCTCCATCAGCTGTGACAAGAAGTTCAGAGCTCAGTTTGACATTGACTGGTGTAAGATCTCTCTGGTGAGGATTGGACAGATTTCCCTGAATTTAAAATCTTAAATCCTGAGGCCCGAGGGAAATGCTGAATTAACTTCACCTTATTTCTTCAGGTTGACATCAACAGAGTATTCCCGGTATATATAACCCGTCCCGAGCCGGGCAACGGGATCCTGCCTGAATTTGGGTTGTACGACCCCCCCTCTGAGACTCTGATGAGCCGGAACTACTTTTCAGACTTCCTTATCACGCTGGCTGTTCCCTCCGCCGTGGCAGTAGTCCTCCTCTTCATCCTCGGCTACACTATGTGCTGCCGTCGGGAAGGGTTGTAAGTGTGCTTGGTCTTCTTTTATGCACCAGACACTCCGACAAACATTTGGGGAAAGCACAGAAACTGTTCAAAAGAGCTATATGATAATCAAATGGAAAAACAGGATGCATATAGTAGGACATTTAGATAAAAGCAATAATCTGGACTGGAATTGCAGCTTGTCATAACCATACTTTTCTATTAAGTTCTCCATGAATATCTGTCGCAGCTTTTTGTTATTTCCATCATGTACATCTTGATGTTTTGAAGCAGAGCCATGACATCGATAGCCATTCATCCACGATCAATCCTGTCATCATTCTCCATCATTTACAGGCCGGGAGAGACGTTCCCCCTCAATGTTCCACGCCCCCATCACCATTTCCACTCTTTCTTTACCCAAGCGTCCATTCACTTGTGTGTAGATGTCTCTTTAACTATCAATATTAGTATTTAATTCATCCATTTTGTTTTGTTTCTAGGGAAAAAAGAAACATGCAAACACCAGAGTAAGTGTTTTAAGTCTCCTGTGTTTTTCTTTATTTTGGATCTGTTTCTGTCCCCCCCTCTATCTCTCTTTGGTTTGCAGCTTTGTCATCTATGTTGTCATTGAACGCTTCCTCATGACCATTCATGTGCTCATCTGTGTGTTGACATCCATTCATCCAACGGGCTGCTCAAAATGAATAGTAATTCAGTAACAATAGCTTGAAAAAAAACTTACATCTTGAAGACTAAGAACATATTTTGAGGTCAGAGAAGTTAGGAGGTAAGGGAGGTTGTATTGCTGTTGCGCATGCATGAGTTGAGTGCAGAGCTCCCCATAGCAGATTCAAATTGATTGCATATCAACATATTTGAAATGGGTTTCAGATGACACCAACAACACAAGCTACAAAATATGTAAACTCCACTGCCTCTCCCCTCTCCAGCATCCAGCTGGTTCACCACAACTCCATCCAGAAGTCGTCCAAGGAGCTGCGGAGCATGTCTAAGAACAGGGAGATCTCCTGGCCCCTCTCCACCCTGCCCGTCTTCAACCCAGTGAGCGGCGAGGTGGTGCCGCCCCTCCACCCCGACAACTATGAGACCACCAGCATGCCCCTCATGCAGACGCAGACGTGAGTTAAAGGAGGCTTTGGTTTGTCTGGAGGGAAATGCACGTGTGGTTTCAGCATGTGAATGAATAAACTATGCACACATGCACCTGCGCTTATTAGCAGTCACGCAGATGTATGGCTTATACAAGTCGTTATATAGGGGGAATATTTAAGTAAAAACAATACCATTATATATTGTCTAATCTTGTTTTGTGTGCCTCTCACAGTGCCTTGTTTACAGCTAAAGCTGCAACAGGCCTTTAGGAAATACGACTAGAGCTTAAGAGGTTCAAGCTGTCCCATGATATTTCCTAATGGGCTTGAAAAATGTGCTAATATAAGTACAGCACATGATACTAAAGGCTCTTGTGCTGTATGGGAATGTCTGTCTGTTGATCACAATGTCGTTGTTATAATTTCAGGAATCTGCAAAACCAGATTACGATACCACAGCAACGGCCATCAGGTTAGTAACAACCTTTGTAGAGAAAGAAATATGCCTCACTCCATCTGTAACGTGCTATGGTAATATTTAATAGTTCATAATATTAAATAACTAATAATTCAGAACAAGGGTTTAACTAGTTTACATTTGGGTGTTCTGACGTCTTTTACATTGGATAAGGTGACACCATATAGACAATAATATAAATGCATTCTTTGGAGTTTGTGGTTACTTAGCTGTTTTCTCTTATCAGCCTGACCTTAGACTATCTCTCGCCTGCATCCGTGTTAAAATACAATACATTTGGACATGGATTATTAAGAGCAAATCATTTTTGCTACGGCTCCGTAAGAAATCAGGCTGGAGAGCTTTTCCTCTTGTGTCGTGGCGCTGAGAAATCCGAACATTTGGAGTGTGAGCGCCCTCCTGTGTGCACGGTGTTCAGCTGCATGACAGACCTCACTAACCTGCTGCTCTCTCTGTTCACTGCTAACAAAGGAGATAATTATGTCATGTCAACATTTCGAAGGCTGGAGGTAGGTGCTGCAGTCTGTTTTTTCAGCTCATCTCTTCTGCTTAAAAAGACTAACAGCTTTCTTTAAATAAACGTTACTGTTCGTTAGCCAATAAAAGTTGTATAAAGCAAATCTGTATTCGTTCCAGGTAAATGGTATTCCTGAGGAGAGAAAGGTGGCCGAAGCACTGAATTTGTGACCAGAGACAACGGTGTTTGATTTCATATACATATATATATCTTTGTTTTTTTCTAACATTTGTGCCAATCTGCATGCCCCAGAAGTGTCTTTATTGTCCACTTACACTTTGAGGAGTGGGTGTGACAGATCAAAATAGCGTAGCGATTTCTAAAGTACATTTGAATATTTTGAAATAATGTATTTGTAAATGTTAAGACTATGTTTAATTAAAACTTGCTTTGCACAATAGACCTCTCAGAGGAAAAGGGAGTTTTACATAGCAATGCTTTAGTTGTCATGTTATAATATGTATCATGTGTCACATGATAACAATAAATCCTTTGAAATCATTTGTCTTTACTCGTTTCATCTGTTGTCCCAATAATAAACAAGACACTAGTAATGAGGAATTACACAAACGGTATATTTTGTCGAAGAAAACACATTTTATGAAGGTATTTTTAACAATGTACAACAGAATAAAGGCATTTATAAATAATATGGATACGTTTCACCTTTTTAAGACATCACAAAATGTTTAACATGTAACATATCTCAAAGAGGCCCTGCTGCACATGGGTATAAATAGTTGTTGCTTTTACTCGACAGAAAGATCTGTTAAGGCCTGAAACAATTACCAAATGTATAGCTGTTGATCAGTAATGGACGAGGAAACATCAGTGAACTTCGCGCCATAACCGAAATTGCAACATGGAAATGCCATTCCCATTGAACTGTGAGGTGATGACTGGTTATAGAAATTACAAATTTACTTCAATCTTATTCCGTTTAAGAACACAACAGAACCTGCACATTGTTAGATAAACGACCAGAAGCCCCAAAAATCAACAAATTGCTCCACTTTAAAGTAGAAATGAATTCTATGTGGACCCATATTTTTCCTTTAAAAAGTATCTGTATAAATGTGTAGAAAGCAATTAACTAAGCAACCCTTTACGACCTCATGGTAGACAAAACGTGAAACTCAAAATGCATAAGCAACACAGCTTGGATTGTACAACACTATACTTTTTTTTAAACCTATCATTTACCCAATAAAAAAAATGTGCTCAAGTACATAACATTTCTGCACATATTACCTTGTTAAACTCATTATGCATTGGAGTTCACGGCTAAGCTGAAAAGAAAATGCAGGTCTTCAAATAAAAGTGATCATCTCTTACAGTAAATGTCTGTGAGGATATATAGGCAAAGCTACATAACCCATTTGTCAAAATATACAATATTTGTTTGTAATATGCCTTCTAAGCTCAGTCAAAGGAGTTGTTTTTTTTTAGATGTTGGCATGTGGCAGTGATGCAGAGTTTAACAGACGGCCGATCACAGGCCAAAGCCACTGAGGCTCTGTTTGGATGCATGAGTCTAAGAAAATCACTTTTTCACTCACTGATTAAAAGAATTCACCGGCTGTGCCCGCACATGGAGGATGTATACTTAGATTTCCTATTGTACAGTAATATGTGCAAGGCGGTACATTTTCCACCAGAGCTAAGAGGCATGTTTTTAAACGGCAATCAAAAGGACTACAAACACTACTAAAGCATTGCTGTATAAAATAAAGTCTTTCACTCCATCATACAAATATACACAGACTATGAAGCGAGCTGATAGGACAGACGGGTATTAGACTGTAAAGGCTCGACCTCCGCAATGCGTCTCTGAGGCAAGTGATCATCTACGAGATGCTGGGATGGGTACAAAAATTATTCATGTAATACTTCCTTCACAAACAGCAGTCATGAGCGCAGAGTACAAAATAAAACAAAGCCCAAAAGAAAAGAAAAACCTGTATAAAATATACGCTTAATTTAAAATAATTAAATACTGTACATATCACGTAGAATTTCAGCTACAGCAGGTGACCAGTGGCGCAGTACCTTTCATCACAAGGCGAACATTTCAAAAATCACAAAGACATTAGCAAAAATATGTCGAGGGATTATTCAATATTTTAACAATTGCACTCCAAAGTTCGACAGTTTTTTGATCACACAAGTGAGCTGTCGGTCCATATTTTCCATATTCAGATATCTAACACTGTTTTAAAGTCAACAGAAGTACTGCACAAAGTTGATCATAGAAATCAGCACATTGTAACAATTTTATATTTAGATATCTGAATAAGTAGATGATGGATCCTCCTGAGTGAAAACACCTTCAACTGCTACGGCCAAATGGACGGAGTTTGTGCCTAGTGATCGCTTCCAGAGTGGAGTAATGATAGGAAGTACTGTAAGTGACAAATTAAACTTCTTATTAATGTGTTTGGCTAAATAGGAGCAACGCTGCAAAAGACTCACAAGGCAAGCACGAGGTCTTGAATGAGAAGACCTCTTTTTGTTTTACATAAAATCCCACATCAATTTCCTCCGCTGTTCTTCTCATAAATCCAAATAATGTAAACGTTGTGTATTTTTTTTTCTTTGTTATGTTTTTTTTGTTGCATTTTTCCTCTTTTTTTATTATTCAGTGTGCGACTTTCACAGCAGTCATAAGGTTCTCTGCTCAGACACGGCCAGCAGAGAGACCCCGTCCTCCCACGGGCCCCTGTGTTGTCATTTAATACAACTGAGGTCCCCTCCTGTGGCCCTCGGTAAGCTATAACACCGGGCCTGCTCCTGTCTGGGGACTGGACCTCCCTTCAACCTCAAAAAGGGGCTTGGCGAGTCTTCCCCTGCCCCTCACCATCAAGACATGTTACCATCAGGCGCCGTGTGATTTGTGGCTGCCCCGGGACAGCAGCAAGACTCCCAGAGTGAAGACCCCCACGGCCCCCAGCCGCTTCAGCAGGGCCACGCTGTCTTTGGGGATGATCACCTGGGCCAGGTCGTTGGTGATGAGGGAAATCTCATGAGCCACGCAAACGAAGATGAAGGTGCTGACCAGGATGTTCAGCGAAGGGTTTCCGGGGATCAGGACCAGAATGCCCTTGGTGTCGGCGGCCAGCCAGATGTGGTACTGGCATATGAACAGCTGGGGGAGACAAACAGAATGAGAAGAGAGGAATATAAATGTGTGTAGTTTCACTTGGCGGCCTCCAGGGAGCGACAGAGCATCACACACAAAGAGCTTATAAGAAATAAAGTCCAGTGTTTTATTGGTTCTGCTTCCACATTTTATCAGTGGCACCTTATCTTAGCAGAATTACGGATTGCTAATTTATTTTTATTGCTTTCCGTACCCTTATGTAATAGCAGATTTGTTATGTAGCACTATATAAAGCACATTTTATGATGTTGTAATGTTATCACCTTGTTGTGTGCAAAGGCCTCTCTGACATTGGATTACATTGATTATTAAACGCTTTAATTTAACTTTTTCTCTATAGAGTGCCACAGTGACGCGTCCTAAAACCCGGAAGTAAACTCCTTCCGGTTCCTTCGACAAAAACCAATGCAATTTCTCCATAGGATTTTGGAAAATAGCTCTAACTACTTTTCTCATTTTCTAATCATAAATCTATCGATCATAAATCTATCGATTAGATTTATGATTAGAAAATTATAAAAGTAGGGTAGACATGTGGATATTATCTGGCTGAACAAAACGTGATCCGTCTCTTCAATGTGTGTCTACCACAGACCTTATTTCCAGCTATTTTTCAAAATCCTATGGAGAAATTGCATTGGTTTTAGTCGAAGGAACCGGAAGTGGTAAAATGCTAACTTACTTCCGGGTTTTAGGACGCGTCACTGTGGCACTCTATGTTGTATCTGTTAAGACTGTTTTATCATTGCTTGTCTACCCATTTTAAATTTGTCTTGTGCTATACTGTATATATATATATATATATATATATATAAGGTTTATCAATATATTTATCCCTAGATCTGGCAGTTTAGTCGCAGTAATATATGACTTACCTCTAAGGAGATCTTGCCAAACCAAGCAAAGAAAGAGCTATATACAGAGCGGGCGTAGCCAGGAATGTTCCGGATGAGAATGAAGGCCAAAATCTGTGAGAAGAGAAAGGAGACATTTTGTATGACATTCTTATCCTTTAAAGTAGCAGGATACTGTAAGGCAAGGCAAGGCACGTTTATTTATATAGCACTTTTCAGCAAGCGACAATTCAAAGTGCTTTACAAAACTAATTCAAATACTTTTTAGGAATAAATACAGTAAAAACACATTATATAATGGCATTTTACAACAGGCATTACAAAGCAAAGATAATAAAATAAACACCACAGGTATACAATACATGTTTAAATGGCATGCTGTAGTGTGAATATGAGCAGCTCAATTAAAAGCAGCGGCAAAGAGATATGTTTTCAGTCTCGATTTAAAAATAGTAAGAGTTTCTGCAGACGTGCATGATTTGGGCAGTTTGTTCCAGATTGTCGGGGCATAATAGCTAAACGCTGCTTTTCCATGTTTTGTTTTTACTCTCGGAACCGATAGCAGACCCGTCCCAGAAGACCTGAGGCACCTTGATGGTTCGTAATTATGTAGGAGATCAACAATATACTTTGGTCCTAAACCATGTAATGATTTAAAAAAACTAGCAATAGTACTTTCAAATCAATTATTTGGCCGACTGGAAGCCAATGTAAAGATTTCAGAACCGGACTGATGTGATCCACTCTTTTAATGTTAGTGAGGACACGAGCAGCGGCGTTCTGATACAGAGTCCTATAACACTCAAGTAACGGGCCGTCTCCACGGCAGCGTTAAAAAATCTTGAAACGCTTCTGCCCATTCACTTTGAATGGGGTGACGTCACTTTTTTTCGCTTTCGCCGAAATGCATTGTGGGCAGGCGAGCGGAGATTCTCAGGATTTTCAAGATCCAAAGTTGAACAATGTTCAACTTTTGAGGCTGAGGTGGAAGCGTCAGCCAATCAAATCCCGTGTACGCAAATCTGACAGTTCAAGCTCTAGCCAATCAAACGGCGTGTATGCTGGGAGAGAAATACCGCAGGTCATTTCCTCATATTCCAAAAAATGGAGGAGAAATTAGCGGTAGCGAATCAATCACCCGGTGCTTTATGACCAGACCTACCGGGATATAAACCGGAGGAGCCAGGCATGGAGGGAGGTGGCAGAGACAGTGGTAGGTTTTCGCCTGTTTTGGGGAGTTTATATCCAGTTTACTTCGGGCTTTTTTGCTTCGTATGTCGCGGGCGGGAGATTCATGTGATTGGTTGCTCGCAAAAAATCCTCAAGCTTCAGATACGCCCACCTCCAAGATTTTTTTAACGCTGCCGTGGAGACGGCCCGTAAGAGTGATTCACAATCGCTACGTCAAGTTTCAGGGTTCTTAATGAAGTTATCTATTGCACAACTTCACCAGTGTCCCCAGTGGTAGTGCCAGAACTATCTATAGC